TTAAACCCTTTTCTGCTCAGCCACACATTTCCTCATCCTATTCTTATGCAGTTGATTTCCAGACCTAAATACAATAATTTGTATTCTCATTAAATTTCCCTTTCGATCCTTTCAACTCCTGCTTCCAGCATTCATTAGATTGTCTAACCCTCTTATCTTTGCACTGAGCAGGAAATTTCATAAACATCCAAATCAGTACATTTTAGTTTTTAACCAATGTTTCCTTATATTATGTATAAACATTTCACTACCTTATGTACCCTTTTATGGAAGATGCCTCTCCCCTTGGTCCAGTTATAAGTTTCTAATATGAAGTAGAACTGACATTGTTTATGCATATTGTTTATGGAAGAGAGGCTTTTGTAAACTTTCCTACTGTTGTATAAATCATGTACAACTTTAATTTCTCAAATAGAATTATTTTATAACATTAAATAAGTTTTTGTCAATATAGCACCCAAAATTGTGCCAAATATACCACACTAACATGTTAATAATAAGGGAAACCATGTGTCAGGGAAATATGGAAACTCTATTATCTTTGTAACTTTTCTGTAAATCTAAACTATTCTAAAATAAAAAGTTTATTTTTATTTAAAAAAAAAACTCCATAAAATTCTGATGTGAACCTCTAGCCCCAACTTCACACTCAAACCCAATTATATTTGAGAATTAGTGATACATATCAGACAGAAACTAGGTCTCTGGTACGTCTCTAGAGCATTTTTCCAGGAAGTGACAGTGTTTAGAGGTTAGCACTGAAGTTAGACAAGCCTGGCATCAATTTCTGGCTCCTCCACTATCTAGTTGCATGGTTTGGGGTGGTTAACTAATCTTTCTGAACCTTGGTGCCCAAGAATTAGAGATAACTCTTGAGGATTAAATAAGCTAATTACATTAAGCAGTTAATACAGTGCCTGCCTGCTACATAGTAAAATAATGATTAATACCGTCCTTCTTAATGTTTCATCCTGAACGAAAAATAAACTTAACTCTAACATCACCTAGCCCAATTTTCAGACCTTGTCCATGTGAATAGCATGGCTGGCTTTGTTGAATCATGATACAAAGACTTCCTCTTCCCTCTCATTTCGGACAATGAAAAGGACTCGGGTGATTCTTGCATCAGACAGGTTTGAGGGGAAAAGGCTGGGTATGGACAGAACCCAAGTTAAAGTTCTGCCTCTCTTCTTTTCTTTACCTCCATGACCTGAGGAAAGTCATTTAGCACCCTGAGAATTTTATCATCTGTATAAATAATGGCAAAATAATAGCTGCCCAGTCCCACAGTATCTTGGTGAAGATCACATGAAACAACATGAGCCCATTAAGTTGCTTTGAAATATTGAAATCATCAATAGATTTAATATGCACTATGCCTAATAATCACTATTATTTGTTAGTAATCTTTATTTTTTCCAACTAATCATTTCTTTCTGCCTCCCCACAATTACTCACAAAAAATGGGCTTAGAATGTCTTACAGAATTTTACTGAAGATCACAGCAAGCCTATAATTCTAGAGTTACTATAATACATAATCTCCTCTTTTAAAAGAGTATTAAAAATTTGCTGAGCCCTAGTTTTACAGCACTTCCTTTTTCCTCAATATTCCTCACTTGGACCACATTTGCAGCTTTCCTGATTTTCAAGATATCTCATTGAACAAAATTGGGTGCCTACAATTCATCTGAGCAGTTCAGGAGTTATAATCCACTTTGCCTTACATTCTTTCTTAGAGTTCAGTTGCTCTTTTCATGTGTGCTAAGCAGAAGGCGCCCTTCTGTGGGGGTGAGGTAGACTTGAATTTGATACCAGCTTGGCTCACAGATACTTAAAAAGAAAGAAAACAATATAAACACTGCAGGGATGACACCGAGGTTAAGTATCATCTTGGTGATAACAACAGATAGTGTTCATTGAACACATACTTTTTATTAAGTTATTTACATACACTATTTCCGTAAACCTTGAACTAAGAAGTGGGACTCAAGATTTTTTGCTATCCATTAATCAAAATGTCAATTTTGAGACTTCCATTCCTTGCATCATCTCTTACTTTTCTCTTAGAGTTTTTCAAACTTTTATTTTATCAGCAACTCTTTCTATTTAGATTTAGGCTCCCCCAAGTAACCTCACTATAGTTACTAATTTATTGTAAATTTACATTTAAACTTAATGGTAGAGAACTCTGCTAAATTTATATAACATTTTAGTGAGGTCATAATAAGCAGAATTCCTCTAATAAGTTACATAAATATATAAAAATATAAAGTTACATTTTTTTTTAAGAGAAAGGTAGGATGGTTTTAAAGAAATATTTTCGAGAGCACTGGATGAAAGCATAAATCCATTACAACCACTTACAACAGATGATTGCTTTGAGCTTGATATTTAAAAGCCTAATCTATGTTACACATTTTAACTTTTGCTGACATTAGGTGTATATTGATGTCAGAGGAAATTTGATACATTTGAGGCCTACAGGATTGGCCAGAAATATCGGTAAGATATGCACAATGAGCTGCATCACCTGTACCCCACTGGGCACTGTCTTCTTGTCCGCTCCAGAGAAATCATTTTTGTTTAGGAACAAGACACCCTTTTCTATGGCATTTTAACTTTCCTTTTCAACCTTGCTGCTTAATAAATGTATGCTGATATGCAATATCTCCGTAAAAAATAATCATCTCCTGTCCCTCTCCTGTACTAATAACAAAATTCTTTGTCTTGGTTTAAGGAAAAGAAACAAACAACAGCATTCATTTCATCCTTGTCATTTTTTTTTTTTACAATAATAAAAATTCAAGATATCTCTTTAAAAAGACATTGTAATACTTTCAACGATAAAACATTTTTAAAAGAGAAATTGTACTTAGAATACATAGAACTCTTCACTTAAGGAAATAATAATAAGAAGCACATACACTCACACCATGCAGTACACTGCAAATACTTAATTCCATAAATTTTGCCTATTGTACATATAGTTCAAGCTCTTTTGATATACAGAAATACAGTTGAGCTATGACTAGATGCAGAGGTTATCTGTTGTGTGACTGAGTCATAGAAAAGTTTGCTCCACTCTGCATAAAACACTCTATCTCGTGAAAGTAAAAACACACCCTATTTTCTACAAGATTAAATTCTCATAATGAATGTTACCTGATCTCTGCTGGTAATCGAGGTTGTGAAAAACAGAGGTCCACCTTCCGGATGACAGAAGGCATTGCCTTTATCCGGGTGGATCCTCACTCACGTGGGATTGTTGTTCATTTGGTGAAGGTCCGTGAGCTGTAAATTTGAGTCCTCCAAGGATGAAAATCTCTAGCGCTAGGTATGGACTTGAATGGACCCAAATTATAACTCTGGAACCTGCCATTTCTTTTGATCAAATAAATCTAAACTCTCCTCTTTTGATATTATACTTTTAAAATGATCCTTTCAATAATGAGAAGCTGAATAAAAATAGTTGATGAGTTTCAACTACATTTTTATGAGTAATAACTTTCTACGAATACAAACACCTATTTCTTGAAGTTTATTTGATTTACTTTTCAGTATACATAATCTGATTCACAAAATGCAATTGAATATGTGGGAAATGCAACCTTGATCTTCACAGAACCACAAATATTCTATTCATAAAATACTGTGTATCCTTGTGAAGGCAACTGTCCAGAACTGTACACAAATTTTGTGCATTTCTTCCCCATTAATTCTCAAAAGAAAAAAACATTTGAATTTTAATAATGTGGGATTATTTTCTTTCACGAAGCAAATTCAAAATAATTTTGATAATATATGCTCCAAACAGCAAACTGTAAGTTGACATAGTTTTCCTAATTGAATGAACAAGCTAGCCACTGTGAATACAAGGCCAGCTTCCGGCTATTGCCTCTGATGAGTTTTATCCTAATCAGTGGGAACCAACTGGCAGTCAAGACCTATAGGGCCTGTACATACACAAGATCCCACCAAAATCCTGGAACATATTTAAAAGATAAAAAATTGAGGCCAATGGGTTAAAATACTTGCCTACATTGTCAAATGAGTGAAGCAACAGAGAAATATAAAGACTTACTCCTCCATTTGTCCAGAGGGACTTGGACTATTGTATAGTAAATGATACTATAGGGTGAAATATCTATACAGAAGGGAAAGAGGATAACTCATCTATATGGAATTTAACTTTGGGAATCACATAATCATAGTGGTCTTATCAAAACTAGTAAAGTAGAATGCAATCCACTACTGTTGAAAGTTCACGTCACCAGTACCCAGGTATATGTAGAAACAGAAAAACACCTTAGTCACTCCTGACCTCAAATGTATTTAACACAGAGACCATGCATATCTCATAAGCCAGTGAATGTTTTATAAAATATTGACATTTCACATGAAGTAATTCGTAGTTTTTTTGTTTCCCTCCCTCTCTTCCTTCCTTTTTTTTTCTTTTTCACCCCCAACTGTGTTTAAATCATGAACTTTCAGTGGAAATCACTTGTACTACATTTTTGAGAATCATGTACTCCAAACTGTATAAAACATCCTAATTGCTGCATGAAAATATAGACACCATTTTAGGGTAGAATAAATATGTTTTGTACATAAGTTGCATTCCTGAAATACGTTCTTTTTTCAAGCTCTAAATACCTTTCTTGACAAGATAGAGCAGCAGTGTTTGGAAAGCATTAGCATGTCAACAGATGCTCAGAATCAAATGACTTAATAGGCAGAAACTATTTTTTTCCAAATAATTGCAAAGCTTTGGTCTAGCCTTTTGCATACCTTGCATAGTTAATTACCTAGGCCTTAATGTTTACATGCAATGAGAGTATCTACAACTATAAACTACATAATTTATAATTGATGTAAATGGGTGTTATTATGTCAATTAGACAGCTGTGTCCTCCACCTCTTGGTAAACAGCTTTGAGTGATAAACTGAGTTAGCAGAGAAGTAACCTTCTTTTCTTCATAACAGATAAAAATAAATTACCTAGGTAGACCAGGCTGTCCAATTGTTCTCTGGTGATGTAGATGGAAAATCCAGACCCTTGCTTTTGACCTGTTGACTGCAGCAAATGGTCAATTTCGTCACGCAGCACTGCCATAGCTTCTGGGTGCCGTAGAAGGTAATAGATTGTCCAGAACATAGTTGGAATAGTGTTTGCCACAGAGGCCCAGAGAAAGCCTAAATGATGTGCTGGAAGAAAATAAGTGAAAAGGAAGATTAATAGCGTTTATTACACTGATTAGATTTGCAGTGTGCTAATTAAAAGATGTTAGGACACAGACCCAGCCAAGGATCAGTGCATGCTAATGAGGACCAATAGGCTTCTGAAGTCTAATTTTCTGCTTAATGAGAATAGTTTAAAATGTAATGTGTGTGTTGGGGGGGGGCGTTGGGGGCAGGGAGATGGGGGAATGAGATAAGAGGAGTAAATGCAGCTTAGCTATACTCTTTCTCATTATCACCATTAAATATCTTGTTTTACCACCTCAGCAAAAAAAAAAAAAAAAAAAAAAAAAAAAAAAAAAAAATCAATTATCACAGAGGGTTGTTTCAGAGTAAAACATTTTATCATTAGCCAATTAGAGCGAGCATAAAATTTTTCAAGGTCGCCATTTTGTCTTTTTATTTCAAAGGTCTATTGTAAATTATTCTATTTTAGACAAGTAATCATTCAGAAGTTTCTTACCTCCTATTTCAAAGTCCTTGAATGTATAGTATTTCTCCAGGATATCTTGCCTCATTTGAACAACTTCTGACCATCCTTGTATATTAGCCAAGTTTTCTGATGTCAAGTGTTTTATAAGTTTCTTTTGAATAGACTTGGCATTTCCTAGAAGCTCAATGGGTATATCTGATAGTAAATATATGAATTTGGCATCAAATTTAAAAAAATCATCTTTAAGTTCAGTAATAAATTCTTTCCTATCACCAGCAACAGATTTTCCATAGATGGTTGCAAATGTGGTCTCGAATATTACTGAGCTGCAGAATGTCAACAGGTATGCCATGTCCCAATTTGTGGTTTTAAAGAGTTTGGGTTCAAAAACTTGTTGTAGGTTCTGCGTCATGTTTTCCATGAGTAGGTCCAAAGATTTCCCTTGTAAATGTTTGTAGCAGTCATGAAGCTCATTGTTCAGCTCATCATCAGTCATCAACCTTTGGATGGCAAATGCTTTCTTTAATATATTCTTACTAAACATTCGAAAGCTTAATTTCTGATTTTTCATCACTGACTGGTACTGGTAAGGGTCCAGAATAAATGTTATGTACTTTCCTAAAAGAAATGAGAATATGAGCTCATTTTTTAGCAAAACAAACAGCCCCCCACTCCGAACTTTGACAATATCTTAATGAAAATTAGATCTTAGTAACTAACATCTAGAAACATGCAAAGTTTAATAAAAATCCATTTCATTCAAAGGTCCACTACATGTTTCCTTTTAAAATGGAAGATAGTGGGAAAAACTCTAGAAGCTTGAAGTTAAATATTCTGAAATTCTTAATGAATTAATAAAACACAGTATAAGCCCTGGCCAGGTAACTCAGTTGGTTAGAGCACTGCCCCATACTATCAAGGTTACAGGTTTGATCCCTTGTCAGGGCACATACAAGAATCAACTAACGAATGCATAGATGGGTGGAACAACAAATCAATATTTCTCTCGCTCTCTCTCTCTCTCCCCTTCCTTTCTCTCTGTAAAAATCAATTAAAAATGTTTAAGGTAGTGTACACATCAAATTTTTATTTTAACTAAGTACCCAAATATTTAAATTATCCTTTAAATATACTCAGAATCCCTTGACTTAAACACTTCTCATATTTTTCTCTCCAATAACATAAATAACAAAAATATCAAATTGGTAAGATGACATTCCCTTATTGATTTTTTATTTATACTTCATCAAGAGCTTTTTCATACTTGGTATCATCCTAGCTTTGGCTGGATACAATAATTTTAACTCAAATAAATGAAGATGTGGTATGAAGCAGGTACTCATAGATGAATTCCTAATTCAACACTAACAACAAAATCACAAAAGGCCAGTATTTTCATTTTTATAGATGAGAAAATAGTGGCTCACAAAGATTTAGTAACATGTCCAAGGTCACATACTGAAACAGAATGTCAAATTAGAATTCATTCTTTCATTCATTCATTTATATTTATTCAACTTTTATTGAAATCAAGACATTTGTTTGGATCTTGTTCCTCTTGAGGTATAAAGATGTAAAGAAAACATTGTATTATGTGGATGGATAGTGACACAGCAGATGTGTATCTGAGGCAGAAAGTGGAATCTGCTTCAGTCTGATTTCCGAAGTTATTAGAAATGGTTATTTGAGGTGGTGACATTTGGTCTTTTCATACATTAGTGTTGTCCAACCTTACTAATTAAAAGATTTATGGTTCTGGTCAAATTTACAATTCCTACCTGATTCTGATTCATGAAGCTTAGAGTACCTAATACTATTTTAAGACTCCTTGTAATTATATGTAATATGCAGATAATATTAAATAATAGCATTTAATAAGTTTTTCTTTCCCAAGAACACACATGAAGTGTAGATGCTCCTATATACTTTGATACCTATTTATTGTCTTCTAGAAAAACAATAAATAATTAGACCTTGAAGAATGGAGGATCATCTACACTTTCCTCTTATCATTCCTCTGTGTGTGTACAGGTATGTTTGTGTAGCTTTCTGAGATAAATGACTTCTCACTTATTATTTATGGTAACTCCAACAGCATCACAGAACTTAAATTTAATTTGCTAAAGATTTAGGATAAAGTTTTGAATAATTTTCAACCTAATCCTGGTAAAGGCTTGGAAGCAGAGAGGGGGAGAAGAGGGCAATGGGGGGAAAAAGGGGACATATGTAATACTTTCAACAATAAAGATATATAAAAAAATATCATTTATCTCAATGTTAAATATATGATCTAGTTTGCATTTTTAAAAAGATTAATGTTTTCTCTTTGTTGTACAATTTTAAAGCATTATTTAAGTTTTTGATATACATGGAGATACATGAACTATTATTTTTTTCTAAAAATGAATCATATGATTTAAATTTTATTTACTCTATTTCCTCTTAATTTACTTAATAAGGAGGGGCCAATCTAAGAATGAGAGTAAAGCTAGAAATGACTACTCATTCTTGTTAGATCCCAAAGCTACAACTACAAAATCAACTCAATTGTTTTTCCCCCTGGGGAGAGGAAAAAGGACTCAACTGGATTTGGGCATATTTTATTACACCTGCCTTATACCATAGCTGCTTAATTAAATAAAATTGCCAGCATCTGCCTGATGAATAATTGAAAAAAAAATCAATTCTCTTATTTTGTAAAAGACATAATTTTAGGCAAAGCTGTGTATTTTCACAGGTGGTGATTCATACTTTTCTCCTTTCACTAAATGAAATAATTTTACTAAATATCTTTAGGGTTATTTTAAATTTGTCACTAAAATTCAGAGAATGTATGAAAGATTCAGTTTGTAATACACATAATTATCAGAGTATATTTTGAATTTTTCTATAAATTTTCCACAATCATCAAAATCTAAGTGGAAAGACAAAACTCTATTCAGCTATGAGAGCATGAGCTACTGGCTGCTGGCCTACTTAAGTACAGGCTGTGTGCAGGGTAGAGTTTTTGTCTATAATTCATCACAAATACATATTTATCCACTCTCTTTTTCTTTCTATATCTCTCTTTGGGGGTGAGGAGATGGGGAGAAACTGTAACATTAATTTCAAATAAAATGAATAAAGGCTAAATGTGTAAAAGCATTCTGGTTAGCAATCATTATTTTTTTAAATAAGCAGTTGTTGCATATAGTCTCTGATGTAAAAATCATTACTGATCAGTTTAAAGCAATTTGTAGGTAAAATTCTCACTGTTTTCAAGCCTCTTTACATTCTAGGATCTGTATTTTCTCTTTCTTATTCTTATTTTAATTTTCTTCCATATCAAGGCATTGTGTTTTATCTATATCTCTGAGTAAGATGTGGATTTCTTTAAAAGTGGACGTTTTGATTTTCTGGATTTTACTCTTCAACTGGGTTTGGAAGTACTAGTAACCCTGGAGATGTTAGCTGGCTTTCCAACTTTTAATCTTCAGTATAAACAATTTAAGCTAAGTTTTCCAAAATTAATATTAATTTAAACCATCTGTCCACCATCTGCTAATGTGCGATGCAAAACCAGTTTCTTTGTAATCTTTAATCAGACAGTTAGGAAAACACATAAACATTCATAAAATAAATTTAAATTTCTTAACAAAGGGAACCTGAAAAGTTATTTTGAAGGCCATGGATTCTTTGAGCAAAATTAACTTTTCCTCTAGTGTAATTTCATGTAAATGAATGCCATGTGTCAACAAGCAAGTTGCCTAGTTCACAAAGATCACAAGGTAGAAACAATATCCTTTGCCATGTTTTTCAAAAAGAAAAGAATGGTGTCTAAATATCAATGTCAAAATGAGGCTCACTTTTACAATATAGATATCATATACATATGATACACATATACATATGATATACATATACATATATGTATATTTGAAATAGGGTAAAAAATTTGAATGTTTTCTTTACTGATAATTTCATTATCTTCCCTTTTTAGGAGCTGCCTGGGTATCAAGGTATCAACTCCAGCATTCCCATATAACCTGTGCGGGATCCTTTCCTAACTCAACAGTCTTTTCACTTCCTTCCAATTTAGTTTTTTCAGGAAAATGAAACTACATGATGCAAAGTATGTCAGCAAATGCCAAAAAACAAATAAGGTCACTCACACTGATATCTTATGTACACAGGAAGTTTGACATCTGGATCATCATAAATTGAGTTTTGATGTTTTATTTCAGATATTTGGTGTTTACAGAGACATATCCATGGGAATTCAGGACAATTATTTGACTATTTGAAATAGAAATGCTCAGTCAACAAATCTGACTTTAAAATCTGGATTTTAAATAAGTTTTCCATAATTACAAGCTTTTAATCTCCATCTTTAGCTTGTTCTTCAATAGATTTTTTTAAAAATCTCAAGTTGTAAATATTAGTTGGAGGCGTGGAATAGAAACCAATTTTTTGTTGTATAAGGCTGACCACATTACATACTCCTCTTCTTATTAGAGAGATTTCACTAGCTGTTGACAATGACGTACAGGGCTGCTTTGCTGGGGTGACATCTAGGGAAAATGATTCTGCTGCACCACCACACAGAACCAATTAGAGAACTATTTTCTGTGACAGGCCACGAATTTACGTGGTTTCTCATGAAAAGATGTATCTTTTAATTTATTTATTAAGATGACATCCATGTCCCTGGAGACTTTTTGGGATGACAATCATTTGCTCATCATACAAGAACATTACTCACTGAAATCACATTATGGGACAACTGTGGAAGACTGCTCCACATTTCACATTTTCCAAATGAGCTATTTGGCAAACTAATTATTAAAATCATATACATTAATAGGATATCTTGGCAGGAATTTATTCAAACCCTAGTAAGAAGGCAAAGAGAAATAGCAGTACATATTCAACTATGGTTGTCTACTGTTGAGCTAGAAAACATAACCATGGTCAACTTATTTAGATGGTAGAAATTCAGCAAGCTTCTCAGTATGTATCTAAAACTAAGGTACCAAGTGTCGGCAGACATCGGTTGCTTTGTGAAAAGTGAATACAATTATTCAAATCTGCCACAAGTTTCTGCTTAATTACCTAAGGTTATTTCTGTATAATTCACTTAAAAAAGAAAAGTAAAAATTTCAATGATGTGTTGTAGCTACTCATTAGAACATACGGTTGAATTTTTTTTGAAGTGAAGAATACAGTTTTGTATTATGAAGCCAAAAGCTCACTTAGAGTAGAAGAACCAGCTATGGCCTTTAACTGTATTCTGGTAAGTATTTCATCAGCTCTGAGGTATTGGGAAATTCCTCATCAATTATTTATTATGAATCAATCCATGCTGAGCTCCGGATTAAAGGTTGGCAATGAAGAAGCTAGAGAATAATGAAAGGAAATAGACAACTGAATTGGCTATACAGTCACAATTTATTAAATGCTATTGGAGAAGTGATATGGGAGTAACTGGATACTGGGGAAGAAGCATTAACATAACGTGGAAAGGGGCAATGGCCAGTGAAGGCTTTGGGGAGGAAGTGATATGTGACTATGGCCTCAGAGGATGAGTCCATGGCAGCCATCTTTTGAGGATGCCTCATAAAGAGAAGAATGGAATTCTGGCAGAATAAATAGCAAAGAGGCACCAAAGGGCATGGTGTATGAAGGGGAAATTTCAAACCACTTGGTGCTTTGATGGTACATTAAGCACAAGGCAAGCAGTAGCAAGAGATGAGGCTGGAGAGGTAGGTGGATCCCAGACCTTGGGAACCCTTGCAAGGATATGTTTATATATTATAATTTCTCTTTTTCTAAGATGCATGGTTTTTTTTTTTTTCACTTCAATTTTTCTGAAATCAGAGTGCATACAATTACTTTTGGAAGAGACTCGCCAGCTGCCGGGTGAAGGAGGCAGTTGTGATGAAATGGATACTGCCTGCTCGCTCGTGTGAGAACTCAACCATGCTGACAATTTTATCCACTTGGACCATTTTTCCTCCCAATTACATTAAAATGGTAGCGATGCAGTGAAGTTGCTCTATGTACAAAAGGTTGCTTCTGATACTCAGCTAAGTAATTACAGTAAGAAGAAATGACCTAAATAGAGCATACAATATAGGTAATTCTTGAAAAATCTGGATGCTAAAAAGAAAAAAAAAGAGAAATGAAAAGTAACTGGCCAGAGAACATAGGAGAAGCTCAATTAAGCATGGTTATAAGCTGAGGATAAGGACCCAAGAGAGAAAAAAATGAAGACACATGTACGGGAGGAATAAATAATGAAATTCCAGCCCAGAGAAAGCAGGAAGTAAGGGTCACGAAGACAAGGCCCTGGATTGTCTTGAACATTCTTTGAAATTGGAGAAAAGGTGTTAAGAACAACTGAGAGACATGGTGTGTTTGGTAGGCATGTGGAGATCTGCGTGAGGTCATATCCGATGTCTTCCATTTCCTTCGGAAGGAGAGTGAGCTGTGTACCAGAGCCCAGGGAGATGGGGAGCTGGAACACACCTGCCTTCTCACTCGCACACCCAACCAGAAGTCAGAGGGCAAAGGTGTGTGGAGGATCTAGACTGTAGAGCTCAGCCTTCTGAAGCATAGACAGGACAGACAGAAGTCCGCAAACGGAATAGCTGGCCCAGGCGATAAGCTGATGTGGAAGACTGAGCAAAGATGGCCACAACAAATTCCTGCTAACTCTCTACATGTGCTCTTTTGCAATGTGGCTGCCACTCAGCGGAGGAGGAGGTGGAGTCTAATTCCCTATCTATGAGTCTGGGCTGACCTGCGACTTGATCTGACTGATGGAATGCGGTGGAAGTGAAGTTTTGTAACATCAAGAGGCCTTGCAACATTTCCCTGTACCCTCTTGAAACACTAGCTGACATGCAGTAAGGATGTCTGCTTGAGGATGAAACAGCCTGTGGACAAAGAGGTCCAGGCAGGCACATGAAGAAAGCCAGCATGGACCATCCAGCCCCAGTCAGGCAGCCACGACTCAAGCCACACAAGTGACTCCAGCAAGGTTGCTGCACAGCATTCAATCTGTGGGGAGTTTGTTAGGCAGCAATAGATAGCGATGCATCTGGACTGCAGGGGCCTTAAAGGAGGATTAACTAAGAATATTCTAGCTTGTCTTCTGAGCCCTATGAGGTTGGGGTATATAGTAACCTTGCTGTGTTTTTTGTCTCTTGTTTTGTAAATACTCTATAAAAGTAGAGGGATAATGAACCTTTTAAAGTTAAAAATACATTCTAGATCAGTGGTTGCTAGGGGGTCAGGGAGGGGAAGAGGAACGAATAAGTGGAATATGGGGGATTTTAGGGCAGTGAAAACTATTCTGTGTGATACTGTAATGGTGGATACATGACATTATGCATTTGTCAAACATTAAAGAACTTGTACATCACAAAGAGTGAACCCTAATGTAAACCAGGGATGTTTAATAATGTATCAACATTGACTCATCAGTTGTAAGAAATGCTGATATAAAATGTTAATAATATTGGGATGGGGGGTGGGGGCGGGCTAGAAAGGGTCAATGGGGGAAAAGGGAGACATATATAATACTTGCAACAATAAAGATTTTTTTTTAAAAGAGAAAGTTTGATCTCTTCAAAAATAAAGTGGAATTATATTATAAAAAATAAGGTGTTAATAATAGGGGAAGCTATGATCAGTGGGGAAAAAGGGATATGAAAACTCTCAGTACTATCTGATCAATTTTCTATAAGCCTAAAACTGATCTACAAAATAAAGTCCATTAATATATTGTAGCTTTTAAAAATATATATTTTTTATTGTTGATAGTATTACAGATATTTCCCATCCCCTGCTTTATCCTCCCCTCCCAGCCCCTACCCATCCACCCAGGTCTTCACTACCCTATTGCCCATGTCCATAGGTTATGCATATATATTGTAGCTTTTTAAAAACCATTCTTAAAATCAAGCCAAACCAAACTATAATGACAGATGATGGCAGGAGAGTGGGGTTCCCTAGGTACCCTCAAGAGTGTGCTATAATTTGTTTTTTAATGTGAGGATTACTATACTCAAGACCATAGTTTCCTTTTGTATTAGCTCTACAAATAAAACAATACTGTACATAATTTGCCTAGAGAAAAATATAAGGACATAAGAAGTGCTGTTTACCTCCAAGGAGAAGAGTGAACGTGTCACCATGTTGATTTTGAAGAGTTCTCATGAAACCTATGGGATCTTTTTGTAATTTCAGGGCCAGTCCAAAGTAAGGAAGCCAGCCTTTTAGCAATGGAGGCTCACCAGGTCTCCTGTAAGAAAAAAAAGAAGAAGTTAAATTAAATCATTCTTATTTTAATGCATGTGTATTATCAATGCAGTCTAGAAGTGGATTGAATGAATTGCACAGCTTCTTTTCATTTTTTTTATTTAATGATTCCTATATAGTCATAGAAATATACTTATTGAGCCTCTGGTATGTGTGGCTCTGGGACAGACTGTTCAATTCAGAGCTTTCTGTGAGCAAATTTTTTTAAAAATTGTGTGTGTTGGGCCCAAATTGCTGGCTGAAACAGGTACATATAGTCCACATCTTATTCTGAGAGCTCTTGCTGAGTCTGGGTGAGAGATGTCAGGTATTTTAGTAATCAAAGTAAAGCTCTTTCTTATCAGATCTCGATTACACTGGAATTAGGTAATTATAAAAGGTGCAATTCATAATCTTGAAAAATGTTTTATGCTGTGAAGAACAACAAAAACCCGAACATCATTCCCACAAAGTGTATCCTGTTATATTCTTTTATGAACATTTTTATTTAAACTACGGTGAATAGAAATATTTAAATTTCATAAGACAACTTTTTAAACATGAAGTATGTTCAATGAAACATTAAAATACTATGAATTAAAAAATAAGTTTCTTTTTTTTTTTTTACTTATAATCCTAGAAAAAGTGGAATTCAAAATTTCTTCCTAGTCATTTAGTTGGGGGACTCAATCTGATTTAAATAAAAATAAAAATATTCAAAGCCATTTTATGCCGAAACCGGTTTGGCTCAGTGGATAGAGCGTCAGCCTGCGGACTGAAGGGTCCCAGGTTCGATTCCGGTCAGGGGCATGTGCCTGGGTTGCGGGCACATCCCCAGTGGGGGGTGTGCAGGAGGCAGCTGATCGATGTTTCTCTCTCATCGATGTTTCTAGCTCTCTGTCTCTCTCCCTTCCTCTCTGTAAAAAATCAATAAAATATATTTTAAAAAAAAGCCATTTTATCATAAAAGAGATTAAAACTGATATTCAAGAAAACATGGGTGATTCTCTGCTCCATCTGTGAAGTGATATACTATATGAAGTGCAACCCATTTTGATTAATCACAAGATATTAGTAGCTCAGATCTAATCAAAGATCAAGATTATGATCATATGCAACATGGACTTTTATGTCACTAGATTAACCCTATCAGAACCTCTTATCTCCCCACAATCCAAGATGGTGGAATTAAGCTTAAAAAAACAAACATCAGGTCTTTGGGGTGGGGGGGATATACTAAAAAATAAAATAAAATAATCCAGAGTGTGATAGAAATCTAGGAACTAGGTTTTCTGTTTTTAGAAGACAATTTATCTCTATAAGAATGTACAAAATGTATGCTGCTATTTAAATACATGTACTTAGAAATAGGAAGACAAGAAACATTGCATAGAAATGAATCTTATTCTTCATCCCTTTTCTCATTGTTTTCTGGAATGCAACCTCTAGCAATGGAGACTTGGTTTTTTTTTGAGACATATAAAAGTGTACCAAGAAAATGTTGTAGCAGCTACTCTTATATCCAAAGATTTAACAACAAGAACTTTGCACATATGATTGTAGAGCAGGATCCCCAAGCTATCAAATGCCACTGCATACAGGCTGTCAATAATGACCCTTTCAAAATTAGTAGGTGAACTGGTTCACAAAATTTCCTTTCAATATAATAACTCTTTCCCTTGGCCTACTTTTACTCTGTCTTGTTTAATATTCTTGGAATGTTGCATTGGGACAAAAATTTTCAAAGGCTTTTTGTCATATCCTAATGTAATGCAACTAATTTTATCCTCTATGTTCTGTTGTTCAGTCAAAAGCTATATTCTGCATGGGGTTTCCACTGGGGGAAAGGATGGAGCTCAGAAATCCAGGGGGTTAGTAGCTTAATGTCCAGGGTCAGGGAAACACATTAGGAGGCCATTTTATTGTTACAAAAACGAGAGGGTCATCATTCCTTACAGCTTTGTTTATTTTGGCAGCAACAGCTTAAAACTATTAAACACCATGTCACAACTTTGCATATTTTCCAGAAAAAATATAGTGCTAGTTCAACTTATGACCCATTGAAGACAGATAACAGTAATCTGTCTTCATCAGTATATTCATAAAAAATTTAGGGGAGAAAGCTATCACCGTAACGATCCAGAAAGTCCCACTTGCACCTGGCACACTACAAATACTGCGATTTATCTCTCTCATGCTCTGTGACTTCGAAAATGAAATACCCACTGCTCACTGCCGAGTTGAGGGGATAGGATACCCAATGCTTTTTGGGAAATATCGAGTTCTGAAGCTTGAAATGGGTAGATCCAGAAGCAATGATGGGTAACAAAAACAACAAACAAAAAACAAATGACACGGTCCATACCCCCTCTTAATCCCACCCAAACAATATATACACTCTCATACATCCTCTTTACTCTTTTTTTTTAATATTTTATTGATTTTGTTACAGAGAGGAAAGAGAGGGGAGGTAGAAGCATCGATGAGAGAGAAACATCGATCAGCTGCTTCTTGCACACCTCCTACTGGGGATGTGCCCGCAACCAAGGTACATGCCCTTGACTAGAATGGAACCTGGGACGCTTCAGTCCGCAGATCAGCAATCTATCCACTGAGCCACGCCAGCCGGGCATCCTCTTTACTCTTTAAGAGACTATAAGGACACATCTCAGAAAGTATACAAATGAGAGCTTACAAAGGTTCCCAATTATTAAACCCAAGTTCTGTGCAGAAACCATTGTATCACTGCTCGCAATTTCTTCCACATAAGTTGTGGGACCCATCTTGAAGTTTAATTGAAGTGTCAAATATGGTCCAGATTTATACAGAAGCAAACAGTGGAGAATAATCTAAGAACATAAAATGTGTGAATTAGAATAAACATCTAAGACTCTTTTTTTTTGGTTAAAAAGAAGCCTCTAAAATTGAAAAGAGTGAATCAACACAAAATAGTTGGTTTCTAATAACGTTTGAAGTTTGTTTGTCTTTATGCTACCTGTTTGGTTAAATACATACATAAAAGAGTTGGCTAGTGACCTATCATACATTGTTCCCATGGACATTTAATGCCCAGCACTTTCCACAGCAATCGATACTCTGTACTTGTAAACATAATTCCTTCTTTTCCATTTTTTTTTCTGTGATCATTCTAGACTAGGAGTCCAGGTTATTGTAACCACCTCCTAAGTAAGTGGTGAGAAACCTTTACACATGTACAACAGTTCAGAAAAAATAAAAGTATGTGCTGATGGAAAGCTTTTCGAAGATGTAATCTATTTGTATCAGGACACCTAATGTCTGTGATAGTAGTTAGCAAGTTTTAAAAAAATATTCCTGATTAGTGAAGATTTGTGTGTGTGTGTGTGCAGTCAAAATTTCAGAAACTACGCAGCTGATGTGAAAGGCAATATTTGGTTAAAACAGTGACCTTTTGAATAAACTGTTGTTGAGCAACGGACTTTTGATGTTGCTCTGCTTCTCTTTTCCTTGAATTACTTTGGAAGCCACTTAACTGGAAAATGGAATTTGCCTCACAGTGCTTCTTAGAACTGTGCTTGAAATGCTCTCTATTTCTCCACTCTTCCTTGGCTCCAAGGTGAGCATGAGGATCCCTAAAATGTTCCCACACCTCTAAGTAACTGCGAATTAACGTGCTCTTCAGGATATGGGGAAGAGGGGACATCTTTGTAAGGCTATGGGTGAAAGGCCCTGAAAGAGGAGGAGTGGGTGGAGGCCTGGCTACACTGGGCTGCCAGCACCCTCAGTGAGATCCCAGTTGGGTCCAAGGAAGTGCAGAACCACATGCATTACTTTGCTGGGAAGCCAGAAGGGAGTTACAGCCAACTGGGGGCACTGCAGTCATGGGTGCAAAGGTGGAGGGCCACGTGGAAAGCCAGGAGGCACTCTGGGACAACAGAGACAACTAACCTGAACATCTGCACAACAGGATTCACCAGATCAACAGGAAGGAAGGGGAAGGGAGAATCCTAGATCTCATTTAATATCTATGAAAAAAGAGACTAGGTTTTAAACTAGAAGTGATTGAGCAACTTTTCACTGAAAATATTCAGTGTTTTCTGCCAACAGCAGATATAGGGGCTCATGAGAAATTTGAATTCAGTTACAGAGAAAGAAAGTCACATTTCTGCACATCTGACTCTTACTGGGAAATTTTAAGTCCAGTTCTCTAGCCACGTAGACCTTCAGTTTCATCTGAAAATGGGAATCACACTCTATACCTTAAGAGGTTTACCTTTTGGGCTGGATTATTTGAAAGTAGCTGGTACACAGAACTGGATTAGTTTTCCCGGTTATTCATACATCGTAGGCAATTGCACCTCAGTGGTTTTGCCCGCCCATTCTCTGCCTGAATGAATTCACTGGTCAACCCTCCCTGCACATCTCTACCTTTGATCGAGCTGCTCAGATGACAGGGAAGCACCGCCCCATCTTTTGAATTATTGGCTAAGTGAAAGTAAGTGCCCAGATACATACGGATGCAGTAACTTTAAGTGAGCAGGCAAAAAGCTGAAGATAACAATAAAGGCTATCACAGAGCCACTTCGACTCCAAGGACCGTGGTGGACTGAGCTGATGGTTTCCATGGGCTCCATCAGTGAGGAGGGGTGGGGAGAAGCAATGACTTCCCTGGGCCCTTACCACAGACAGAGACTGCAGGGGGTGCTGTGTGACACAGAGCCCATCAAATTTACTTTTCAGAGCAATTTGGTCACAATATTCTTTTAAGTGAATAAGTGGTTAAATAACCACAGACCCATACCATATTTCTCTTTTCCTTAAGTTATGTGAATATAAATGCAAAGAGAAATGCCTACTGTATTTTACTATAGTAATGGTTGTTACTTCTGGGTGGTGAGATGCTGATATCTTCTAATTTGCCCGACTCTTTTGAAGAGTGCTTCTCATTTATTTTGCAGAATGTACTTCTGTTTGGGCTGTTTGATGTTTTCTCATGATTAGATTGAGGTTGTAACATTTTGGGAA